TTCTAATGGAAAAGGAATTAAAATATTGGATTTAACTATTGTACGAGAGGAATTAGTGGAGTTAATTTATGGTGTACCAGTTCCAATAATTATAATTTATTCGATGGCTGGAATGCTATATTAATAAAGAATAACTACTGAAAGCATATAAAGTTGGAAATCTACCAATTGAAATTCCTAAAGATACGCTGTCTAATACAGCGTAATAGGCTATAAGTAATATTATCGTGAGGTATGCGCTATATAGTACTAAAATTCAAGAAACTTTATTTTTATTATCATAAAAAAAAATAAATAAAATTTTACTATTAGTATTAAAAAATTTATTAAAATTTTTAATTTAACTATTAGTATTTTTTAATTTTATTTATATAAGAATTTATATTAAATAAATATATATATATAATTAGATAAATTTATAAATATATAATACGAGTTTTATCTTAGCTCAGAATGAACAGTTACTATTAGCTTTACACATGTTAGTTTTGCAATAAAAGCAGCGAAAGGGTGAGTAATACAGTAAGATTCTTCCCTAAAGTAAAGTTAAATACTTTATTACAACAATGTTGGCTTTAGGATGAGCTTAGAAATTGGATTAGGTAGTCGGTAAGATTAACAGCTTACAGAGCCGAAGATCCATAGTTGATCTGAGAGGATGATCAACCACAATGGTAATGAAAAGAGGACCATGGGTTAAAACCCCCAGCAGTGAGGAATATTGGATAAGGATTGCAAAATCGCTCCAGCTAAATAGTTAAAAAAAGTAGGTTGAAATATATTTATTTTTTTTTTTAAGATATATCATTATGAGTTTATTATCTTTAATACCTATCCTGACTAATTTCGTGCCAGCAGTCGCGGTAATACGAAAAGGATAACTGTTATTCTTCATGAATTGGTGTAAAAAGTGATTAGGCGGTAAAATAACTCAATTTAATTAAAGAGATAAAAATTTAAAAAATTAAATTTGAAAATTATTTTACTTGAGTATTATAAAAGGAATTGGAATTTTTTATGTAAGGATGGAATCTTGTAATATTAAAGAGAATTCTAGATGGCTTAGGCTTTTTTCTATATATTAATACTGACGCTGAGTAACTAAAGTATGGGTAGCAAAAAGGATTAGAGACCCTATTAGTCCATACCTTCAACGAGGAATGTTATAAATTATTATCATAATAGTTTATAAAATTTACGTTTTAAACATTCTACCTGGAGAGTACTAGGGCAACCTATAAACCCAAAAGAAAAGACGGTCATCTAAACCAGCAGTGAAGCATGTTGTTTAAATAGATGATCCACAAAGAATCTTACCAATATTTGATATTTTTATAAATTATATAAATATAATTTATATTCTATTATTAACAGGCGTTACATGGCTGTCTTCAGTTCTTGGTTTCAGACGTTTAGTTAAGTCTTACGAAAGAACGTAACCCTCTATTTGTAGTTTTTATGTACAAATAATATATTAACCGATTAAAAAAAATTTTTAGTTTTGTTAATATGAGGACCAAGACAAGTCATCATGACCTTTATATATTGGGCTATAGACGTGCCACAAGAGTTTAAGCAATAAGTAACAAATTTAATAAAAAGAGTTAATCTATAACTTAAACTACGTACGGATAAGACTCTGAAACTCGAGTATTTGAAGTAGGAATTGCTAGTAATCGTGGATCACTATGCTACGGTGAATAATATACTAGATGGTGTACTAATTGCCCGTCAAGGACTGAAAGTGAATGGGATGGAAAACGTGGTATAATATATAATAATAAAATAAAAAAAAAAGAAAAATTTAATTATCTTTATTTTATAATATTATATTTGTTACTTTTCGTTCATAATCGGTTTTAAGTCGTAACATAGTAATCGTAGGGGAACCTGTGGTTGAATAATTAAATTACCTAAATTAATTCTAAATTTATAAATAATTTTTAATATATTTTTATTTATTCTTTCTTTACAAATAATTTTTTTATATATAAAATAAAAAAAATATTTATTTATTCTTTTTTACAAATAATATTCTATAAAAAAATAAAATTAAGAAATTATTAATTTTATTTTTTTTACGGATGTGGTGAAATGGTAGACACGTCATATTTAGGATATGTTGGTTTATACTATGTGGGTTCAAATCCCACCATCCGTAAAATTAAATTAATAAAATTTTTATTATAGCCATTATAGGTTAATTGGCAAACTATCTTTCTTCCAAAAAGAGGTTATCCGTTCAATTCGGATTAATGGCATAATATAAGGCTTTGTAGCTTAATGAAAGCAATTATTTGTCAGATAATTAGTTGCCGTTTCGTAGACGGTCAAAGCCGTATATAAAAATTATAAAATATAAAAAGGGGATATAATATAAATGGTAGTATGTGGTTTTTGCAAAGCTAAAGTAAGAGTTCAATTCTCTTTATCTCCATATTAATTTATATCATATTTTTTTAAATATAAACAATATAAATTAATAATTAAATAATTTTCACATTCGGTCACAAATAACATAAAAAAAAAATTATGAATTTTTTCTTAAAAAATATATATTTATATAATGATGCACCAGAACCTTGACAAATATCATTTCAAGATAGTGTAACAACTTCTATGGAAGGTATTGATAGATTAAATGGTTCTATTTATTATTATGAAATAATAATATTAACTTTAATAGGTTGATTATTTATATCAATATTTTTAAAATTTATCAATAAATTTATTTCTCTAAAATATAATAATCATAGTTATAATTTAGAAATTATTTGAACTTGTTCACCAGCAATAATACTTTTTAGTATAGCTTTACCAAGTTTTAGATTAATATATTTAACAGATGAAATAACAGAAGGTGATATAACATTAAAAGTAATAGGTCACCAATGATATTGATCTTATGAATATCCTGATTATCCTTATGATATTTCTTATGATTCTTTTATGATACCTACAGAAGATTTAGAATCAGGACAATTTAGATTATTAGATGTAGATAATGAAATAGTAGTTCCAGGTGGAACTACTATAAAATTTATTTGTAGTTCTAGTGATGTTTTACATAGTTTTGCTATTCCTTCAGCAGGTATAAAAATGGATTCTGTACCTGGTAGATTAAATGCTGTTACAGCTAATTTTGATAGATTAGGAAGTTTTTATGGTTAATACATTGGCCATTACGATATTGAACATATCGTTTTTATCATCAAATTGACGGGAACTCCCTAAAGAAATCTTAACCAACTGAGCGTCGTAAGACAGCTTATGGCACAGATAATGACTCGTGGTATGGTAAAATCAAGATTTATAATTCAATGGGTAATCCGCAGCCAAGTACCATTAAAATAAAATGGTATGCAGTTCATCGACTAAATGGTGATTAGTATTTGAAATAAAATGCTTAAGATATAGTCAAACCCTATCTGAAAAGATACAGGAAATTTATAAAAAATTTTATTTTTTTATATTTCTGTTAAAGAAAAATCTTAATTTTAAGATTTTTAGGGATAATTTTAACTGGTCTATTAGACCGATTATTTTAATAAAATATTATTTATAATTATGTTTATTTTTTTTATAATTATATATTAATTATAATCTTTATTTTATAAATATATGTATTATAAATAAAATCAATTTTATAATTTATTTAAAATAAAATCAATAAAATTTAATAGATCTTGTTGATCTATCCGATCTTTTAAATAAAGAAGATATAAATTATTTATAATTTTAGAAATTAATACGAAAATACCTTTTATATTAAAAATTTTAAAAGATAATATTTTTATAGATAATCAAATTTTAAATTTAACTTTAAAATTTGATTATTTATCTTCTTATTTAGAATAAAAAAAAAAATATACATATTTATAACAAAATGATAAAAAATATAAAAGCTATTATTTTTATTATTTATAATATTAAAATAATTAATGTAATTTGCAATGTTCTGAATTATGTGGTGTATTCCATTTAGGTATGCCTATAGTTGTAAATGTTCTTCCATTAGAAAAATATTTAGATTGATTAAAAGATTTTGAAGAAAATCCTAATTTTATAGCATTTAGTCCAAATGAAAAATTTTTTATAAATAATAATACATCTCAAGATGAAAATATTAATCAAAATGAAAATATAAATCAAGATGAAAATATAAATCAAGATGAAAGTATTAATCAAGATGATAATCTTTCAAAAAGAGAAAAATTAAAAAATTTTTTTAAGGATTTAAAAAATAATATAAAACCTAATCCTCTTACTCCAGAAGATAAAGAAAGAATGGTACGAAATATAAATAATATATAAAATAAATTCCTTTTTACTTAATTATAAAAAGTATATATATAGAGTTTTTTAATATTATAAAGGATTTTTTATTCATAATGAATAAGATAAATAATATAGAAATAAAAAAATGACTATATATATATTTTATCTCTTTATATTGTTATATAATAAAAAATTAGCCATATATATAAATATAATCAAAAAAAAAAAATAATATAAAAATAAAATATGAAAAAAAAAATTTTAATATAAATATAAAAAATTCATCTTTATATTTTTATTTAAAAAATGAAAATATATATATATGAAAATTTATATTTATAAATACATTATAAACCTTTTTAAGAATATAAAATAATATACAATTTAGTTTAAATATAATTAATAAGGAATATGTTTATTTATTAATATTTATATAAAACATATTAATAAATTAGTCAAATTTATATTTTTTAATATAGAATATTAAATAAAATGAAAAATTATTATCCTCAACCTTATCATTTAGTAGATAATAGTCCTTGACCAATATTAATATCATGATCATTATTTATAACAGCACTTGGAGGAGTATTAAAATTTCAAGGATTTAATAGTATTACTTTTATAATAGGTTTTTTTACTGTATTATTATGTATGATTTTATGGTGAAAGGATGTTATAACAGAAAGTACTTTTTTAGGAGAACATACATTAAAAGTACAAAATGGGATAAAAATAGGTTTTATAATATTTTTATTTTCAGAAATATTTTTATTTTTTTCTTTATTTTGATCTTATTTTCATAGTGCTTTAGCTCCTTCTGTAGAATTAGGAAGTTGTTGACCACCTGTAGGTATAGAAAGTATAAATCCTTTTGGTTTACCATTATTAAATACAGTTATATTATTATCATCAGGTGTTAGCCTAAAATGTAATATAGGAAATATATTTATATTAAGTAGTATATTGCCATTTAACCATGCCAGAGTCCCATCTTTAAAAAGAATAGGTCCTCATAATTATAATATTTTATCTATTTTAATTGGTTCTTTATTAGGTGATGGTAGTATGGAAAAAGATGGTAATGGTTCACGTTTTGCTTTTTATCAGGAAAAATCAAATGGAGAATATTTACTTTGGTTACATCAAATTATTAGTTCTTTAGGTTATAGTAAATCTGAAATACCTGTTATTAATACTAGACAAGGAATAAATGGTAAATTACGTTATATTTATAGATTTAGAACTTATACTTATAGTTCATTTAATTGGATATATGAAGAATTTTATCCTAAAAAACGTAAAATTATACCAAAATTTTTAGATTCTTATTTATCTCCAATGGCATTAGCTATTTGAATTATGGATGATGGATCTCTATATAAAAATCGAGGTATAAAATTTTGTACTAATACGTTCAGTTTGAACGATGTTCAATATTTAGCCAAAATTCTTAATAAAAATTTTAATTTAAATACTTCTATTCATAAAACAGGTATAATTAATCAATATAATTTATATATACCTAAATCCAGTTTAATGGATTTGAAAAAAATAGTACAACCTTATATTCATCCTACTATGTATTACAAACTAAATATTGTCTAGTTTATGTTTTTCTTGATAAATAAATTTATTCTTATATTATATAGTCCATAAAATAATTAATTTTATTTATTTTATGCCGTATGGAGGTTTATAAAAAATATTTTATAAACTTGGCAACATTGATGTAAACAGTCAACAAAATAAATCTGATTTTTAGACTGTCGATTATATTATAATTATAATAAATTCGTTATCGAGTTTATTAAAAAAAAATCGCAACAGACTGCTGATTCATCAATGGGTTCCTAAATTATTTATAATAATTTGGGGGCTTAATGTACAGTCGGAATCTCAAAAATTATTATAATAATTTTTCTAAGATTTTATATTTATTTTCAAAATAAATATAATTAAAAATAAAGAATTATATTTTTGAAAATTATAATAAATATAAAATACAAGAATAATATATTCAGATTATATATATATATTATTAGAGATTTGGCCACAGTAACATGAGCTCATTATGCTTTAATAAGAGGTTATAAACAAAATTTAATTATATCATTAAGTATAACTATATTTTTAGCTTCTATATTTACTGGATTTCAAATTTTTGAATATTATTATGCACCATTTACTTTTGCAGATGGTATATATGGTAATACTTTTTATTCTTTAACTGGTTTACATGCTATTCATGTATTAATGGGTAATACTTTTTTAATTGTTGCATTAAGTAGAATATTTAATCAACATTTTACAGAAATTCATAGTATAGGATTTGAATTAGGAATTTTATATTGACATTTTGTTGATATAGTTTGGTTATTATTATTTATTGTAGTATATTATTGAGGAAGTTAAAATATATATATAAAATGACGATACAATTTATTAATTATGAACTTATTCCATTTCAAGTTATAGAATTTGTAAACAATATCGAATTCTTAGAAGAAATTCCTTTATATCCTTTAGATTTTGAATCATTAGCAAATATTTTAAATACATGAAATTATACTTATTTTTATAATAAATATATTAATTATTCTTATTATACTATTGAATATTTAAGAATGGGACAAGATACTGTTTTAACAAAATTAAATTGAAATATTCCTTTTGCTACAAAATATACAATTATGTTAAAATTTATGTATCCTGAAGATTATCATTTAATAATGGATAATTTTTATATTTTAAATGTTTATAAAAATACTTCTAATATAAATTTTTTATATATTGATAATACTAAAGAATTATTATTTATGCTAGATACAATGTCGGATGTAAAGGATATATATACTTATACTTTCCAATTACAACAAGTAG